AGCCTTTTCTGTTTAAAAATGTACCACATTTATGACGTCATTTTTCCAGAATGGTCCTCCTTTATGCCAACTTTCGTTTATGATTTATCACATTCATATACTCAACAGTTACCTGGTATTAAGCCAATTTCAAAAAATTTTGAAAACATGAAATTTTAAGGGCACAATAAAGCCTAATCCGTATCTTCTAATGTAGGAATATCACCTTAATTAAACGATATACTTGTGACAAAGAAACATATAGATCTAATCGTCCGTACGTCACCTTACCTCTCTGTCCACTACCAGTAAACTAAGTCAAATCAACCACAAAACTGTTTTGTAAAACTTTTTATTGCACATTACATTTTAAATGAATAGATCAGTAAATACTCTGAAGTAACTGATGTAGTATACGTAATACGAAACAAAACAAAACACAAACAAACATACTAAAGACGTACGGGCAAAGACGGCCTGTACCTTACGAAATAAGCCAAGAATGAACAAATACTGCAACTAGGTTCTTTTAAACATGACAACGCCAAATCAGAAGAAAAAGCGAACCGAGTTTAATTTACAAAGGGAACTGAAAGTTGCACATATACCATGTATACATCTAGTTATTTTATTTTTATTGTTCATTTAAGAATACAATTTGTGGGAAACTTCCCTCTTTATATATAATTGAATTTTTATATACTATACATGTAATATTGTACATGTATATTCTTGGGATACAAAAGCTTTGTTCCGGTATATCGTTTTTATTTATACATGAATTATAACATGGTGAAACAAATTGAATGTAAAGCAGAATGATTATGTTTATTTGCGTCATCTAACTTTCCTCAAAATTTTACAAATGTGGAATTAAGTAGATTATATGATTTTATCTAAATTTCACCAGACAACAAAAGATATGATTTCAGACTTTCCTGTTAAGCACATTACAGCTGTAATGATTTTTTTAAAGCTGAAGTATATTATAATTATGCATTGTGTTGTATTAATACGGACCTGACTACTACATTTTTAATATTGTCACCAAGACTTACAATTATCAAACTTATAATAAGAATTTCACGGGAAAAAACAAAAGCAATGCATGTAAGTTGAGAGGGATTGAGTGTTTTTCTTTGATCAATTCATGACAAATCGTCCATTGTGGTCCGTGGTCAGATTGGGCACGTGACCATTACACTCCGGGTGATAGTCTGGATCCTCAAGGTTCAGGTCCTCAATCTCCAAATCCATCGACTTAAAAAAAGATACACGTTAGTCATTATGATTATTATACCCCCCGCTTGAAAAGCGGGAGGGTATATAGTAATCATTAATTCCGTCCGTCTGTACGTCTGTCCGTCCGTCCGTCCGTCTGTCCGTCCGTCTGTCTGTCCGTCCGTCTGATACGCTTTGGGGTACCCATCTCTTATCCGCAACTCCTCTCATACCACTGAATGAAATTTGATGAAACTTTCACAGAATCTTTATTACATATTGCCATTGTGCACCTCCTATTTTACTTTTTGATCCGGCACATATTTTGGGTTTCCCGACCACAGGAAAACATGGACTTTTTCACCAGTTATAACCATATGGGAGGCGGGGGGTATCATTTAGTGAGCTCATCGCTCACAGTACCTCTAGTTTAGTGTAAGAACGGTCAGCTTTGTTTGTCTTTGGGATACACTCGTAAAATGCTGCAAGAAGTTTTCTCTAGATAAAGGCTAATGTTAAAATTCTTTTGACGTGATTTTTTAAACATAATCCCCCAGCCCCCTGGAAAAGAAACCACAAATGGCTTAACTTCATGGAGACTCTTTTCTCGCACTGTCTGTTAATGACGATGTATAAAGATATTCCCCCTGGTATTGTATTGATCAAAATTGTTCGTAGAAAATTAAAACTAACGTACATGTATCCCCAAACAAGCCCACAAAATTGGATTTTCTAGTCCTTTTAGCTCAGGTGAACACATCCTCTTTCAAGAGGAGATAATTAAAAATTAATGAAAACTTAGTGCCATCTTATCAAAATCTTCTCAAGAACCATTACACTTTTATGTGAAAGCATACTCAGGTAGTGTAGACTCGATTTTTTGAAAACATGACCCCCGGGGTAGGGTGTGGCCACAATGGAGAATGAAAATTTTATATAGGAATACATAATAAAAAGAATTTGAGAATCTGCTTCTCAAGGAATACAAAACTATGACCTAAGTATTGATATGACATCATCCTCAGGTAGAGGAGATTCACCCTTACTTGATAAAATACACAGGGAAAATTTTCAACTTGTTCCATATTACAGCTAAGGGTTGTGTTCATCTTTTTAACTTCCCTGATTCAGTTTGCCGACTTTATGCAAGTGGTGATGTGCAGCAATGCAAACTTCAAAGAATATAGGTTATGGTCAGATTTGGTGATCTTTTATTATAACAGTCTTCATGAAATGGTCCTGTGATGTTTGTTTCAAATTCTGTAACTGCACATGTAATCTAGACTTAATTGCATCTACATGTATTTCATATACTTTCTTCTTTAAAAGCTTGTCTTTCTGTTTTAATGTCAATGTTTTTCATGCCAGACCCATTCTTAGGTGCAAATGATTTCTTACCACTCTTTCAGAGTATCTGAATTAAAATTCAACAAGAGGTCCAGGGGCCACATCGCTCACCTGAGCTCTGGCTATGTAAAACTAACAGCAAAAATCAGTTCAGTTTTGAAAAATTTAAATATTTTAAAAAGTGGGTTGAAGTGGGATCATGATTTGAACAAACTTGAATCTACATCAAATGAGGATGCTTCCTTGAAACCATAAACAATCATGGCTTTGCTGTTCTTGAGAAGAAGAATTTTAAAGATTTTCCCTATGTATTCCTTATAAAACTTTGATCCCCCCCCCCATTGTAGCTCCATCCTACCGCCGGGGGGGGGGGGGGGGGGGGTCATGATTTGAACAAACTTAAATTTACACCTCCAGAGGATGCTTCCACATGAGTTTCAACTTTCCTGGCCCAGTGGTTCTGGAGAAGAAGATTTTTAAAGATATTCCCTGTGTATTCCTATGTTAAACTTTGACCCCCACTGTGGCCCCATCCTATCCCCGGGGTTCATGATTTGAACAAAGTTGAATCTACACTACCTGAGGATGCTTCCATATGAGTTTCAAGTTTCCTGGCCCAGTGGTTCTAGAGAAGATTTTTTAAAGATATTCCCTGTGTATTCCTATGATAAACTTTGACCCCACTTTGTGGCCTTATCCTATCCCCGGGGTTCATGATTTGAACAAAGTTGAATCTACACTACCAGTGGATGCTTCCACATGAGTTTCAACTTTCCTGGCCCAGTGGTTCTGGAGAAAAAGATTTTTAAAGATATGCCCTGTGTATTCCTATGTTAAACTTTGACCCCCATTGTGGCCCCATCCTATCCCCGGGGTTCATGATTTGAACAAACTTGAATCTACACTACCTGAGGATGCTTCCATATGAGTTTCAAGTTTCCGGCCCAGTGGTTCTAGAGAAGAAGATTTTTAAAGATATTCCCTGTGTATTCCTATGTTAAACTTTGACCCCCATTGTGGCCCCATCCTATCCCCGGGGTTCATGATTTGAACAAACTTGAATCTACACTACCTGAGGATGCTTCCATATGAGTTTCAAGTTTCCTAGCCCAGTGGTTCTAGAGAAGAAGATTTTTTAAAGATATTCCCTGTGTATTCCTATGATAAACTTTGACCCCACATTGTGGCCTTATCCCATCCCCGGGGTTCATGATTTGAACAAAGTTGAACCTACACTACTAGAGGATGCTTCCACATGAGTTTCAACTTTCCTGGCCCAGTGGTTCTTGAGAAAATTTTTAAAACATGCCATTTCACTAATTCATAATTATCTCCCCTTGGAAGAGGGCGTGGCCCTTCATTTGAACAAACTTGAATCCCCTTCACTCAAGGATACTTTGTGGCAAGTTTGGTTGAAATTAGCCCAGTGGTTCTTGAGAAGATGAAAATGTGAAAAGTTTACAATGACGTCAACGACAACAACATTAATGACGACAGACAAATTTTGATCAGAATAGCTCACTTGAGCCTTCAGCTCAGGTGAGCTAATAAAATGCTAATATGTGACTTTTGAATATCCTCTATCCTGCCGTAATTAATACCAGAATTCATTTTACATCAATCTGCAGTGCACTCCATATTGTTCAGTCTTGTACTCAAACTACATGTGTATACCCAAGTTTCATTGGAAATATCAAAATTTCCAAGACCAATTGGAAGCATGTCAGAATATTCACCAAAATCATAATTATAGTGGCTGGTGCTTTGCCACTTGTTTTCTTTTCTTTGCTCTTGAATTTAATTTACTTATATTTCTAAAGTTATGATGCATCAATAATTGACTGATAGAAATAACTCATGCAAACATTTAAAGCAATGTTTTATTCATGCCTGATATCAACACTGAGGATAGCAAGAGAAGCAAAAAGAACAAAATATGTATGTTTGAACATGAAAGAGTCCAATTTTGACACAAATCAAAACACAATTTTTTTTTCAAAAGATATATTTTAGTTCAATACAGTTTTACTTGTCAAAAAATAGCATTTATTTCCAGTGTACTTAAGTCTTTTGCAAAGAATCAACAATTTGTACACATAGGTATAAGGTATTCATAATTTCAATGTCTGTATTTAGTGAGCAAACAAATTAATCACAGCAATATTTAAGTCACAATTCCTCATATTCACTCTACTTTCTCTTCAACCTTTTCCTCTTTTCCTTTCCAACCCTAATAAAATAGGAAAACATTTTCATTATTGAACTAGCTTTGCATTAGCAACTGAGATCAACACACTGAGTGAAAGATCTGCATATACATTAAATTTATATGAAATGATGGAAGAAAGCTCCTCCTTTTTAAACAAGATGATGAATGATAATCTAGTGTTGACAAGATGTTATCATATACTCAACCAACACCCAAAAGGACAATATTAGTGACTGCAAAAAACAGAATGTCTAATGGTAGTTTGGTTTGACTGACTGGAGAAGATTATGAGTCTATGACTCAGATCTAGTAAAATCCAGATATTAGTTAGTATGGTTCAAAGTTGGATGTCCTCAATTCAGTAACAAGAATGTCTGATTTGCATTTAGCATTTTCCTGAACAGCAGAATACACTTTCCTTCGATTTTTTTTTTATTTGAGTAGAACTTTATCCTGTTCACAATGATCCTTATTAAAAATGAATTTAAGAAAATGGACATATGAAATACAATTATGCTATGGATTTGAGGAAGAGGGACACATATTAAAAGTTGAAACTTCAATCAAGTTAAAATGTATAAAATCATAAAATAACAATAGGGGAAACCATGCCCCAAGGATTAATTCAGCTACAAGATGTAAGAAGCTACCCAATTTTATTTTATATATTGTTGGTTCTGACTATATAGAAGATTTTTTTATCTATAAGAATTTCAAAAGTATTAGGGGTATCTGCAATATAATTTGCTTAATTGTTGAATTAAAAATAAAACAAAAACATTGGGTCTTTCATGTTCAAACACATTTCTGGGGAAGTATCTGGACAAAGCAGAAAAAGTGAAGGAAAAGAAGGAAAAAAAAATGATAAAAAGCACATTTCTCACATTTATATAAATATTATAAATATCTTTCTCTTTTTATTGCACCATTCCTTACGTTTACTTTCATTTGAGGTTAACAAAATATCTCTCTAGCTCACTGATGAAAACATTAAAGATGAATTTCTTTTTTTTTTATTTACAAATTAGCTTATGCAAATACGCTTATAGTAACCTTTAACTTTCAATTAATTTTGTCATTTCCTTAATTTTCTTTTGTAATTTTCAGCAAAGTAGCTACTGTTGGGTACTAACAGTATAAATGAATTTGTGGAAGGTAGATAAGTGACAGTTACTTATTTGGAATAAAAAACTATTCATTACAAAAACTTTCTTACCCAATTCTACAATAAAAGTAAGTTTTTCTACATGAATTTGCTATGGAAATATTTGAGATGTATATCCAGCAATGATTAACAGAGACACACGTGTGACAACATAAAGAGTTAGGAAAAAAGTTAAAGTTAATTCATGCAACATACATTCCAAAACATTTAATATTTAGTATTGGCTGTTTGCACCAAAAGCATACAACACATATAACTAAAAAAATAATCGTTATAAAATACTGAATAATTACTATGTATAATTTTGACCAATCAGCCAATTCTAAATGTTGTCCCTATAAGTTGATAATGGTCTACCTACCAGCCAGTGGAGGGGGCCTGTTAGAAGCTTCTCTGTCAGGTAACTGAGGGTTTCCTGTAAATGAGTCACCCTCTCCTTTGTCTGGGTCAACACCCAAGCCGGAACATCTTCATATCTCTCAACCTTTAAAGGAAAAATAATCTTAAGGTTATGCTGGATAGTTACTTCAACTTTTCATCAAATATGCTTTTCTCATTTTTTCCATGATAGTACAAGTCTTCTCAATACCAAATGTAGATATGATATTATTTTACTATGTCATATTTAGTATATAATGATTTCTTGCCCTGGGACATTTAGTCTTAATAACCAAAGAGCCTCACTTTTTGAAATGACTGGTATAACTCTTCAGTGAAGGCCTTGGCGTCCTGTAATCTCTCTTGTACAGCTTTAGGTTGAACGGATTCCGGTAACAGGGAGGTAACTCTTGTGATGCTTTGTCGGAGTTGCTGGCTGACGTGACGCGCGACTGCAATTGTTCTTCCCTCTACAGTCTGCAAGGATTTAAATAACTTCCTTATTAAACTCATTCACTTAAGTTAAAATTTTTATATCTGGTTTTTTAATCTTTGACTTTAACCTTTCTTTAGTCTACTAAAATAATTATTATATGATGTCACTTTAATCTCAGAAAGTAGGAGAATGTCCTTTGAATTGATCATGACATGCCTTGTTTTGCAATGCATGTATATAACCTTGTACTTTTTAAGCATTATCAAGGACTCTAAAAATAGCAAATAATCAATTCATAAACATGCCAAGGTTGACAACTTGCAGATAAACACCCTATATACCTACAAGTAAATGTCACTCACAAGGACAAGGACCCACTGCATGTCTGAATTGAATGTCATATTAAAGTTTAATTGCTTTATTTACCAGCTAACAATTTTTTTATTTTTCTTGTTTTTAAAGTTTATAAAGCATTTCATCTTGAAGAAAACATAAAAATAAGGATAACTGACTAAGACATTCAATTAAAAATTGAAAATGGTCTAGCTTCAAGATTTAATCAGAAACATTTTTCCTTCCTACTTATCTTGTTTCCAGTGGAGAAAAGATTTATTTTTGGTGATTGCCTAGACACACTTTTACTTACATCGGGTAAGTCGGGGTTCTCTGCCTTGATTTCTGACCAGGTGCTTGAGATTTTGTTCTGCGTAGCTTCAACTGTTTCCCCCAACTTTTCCTTAGCTGAGTCCATATTGGTCTTGGCAAACTGAATCTGTCAATTTGACAAGTCATGCATTGATATTATCATTGACATAATGAGCATTTATTTGATCTTTTTCCAAACTTGTTCATTTCAAAGTATAAAAATAACAATGTTTACCAGGTCTACAGTGAAGTTGAGTTTCTGGAGATTTTCCTTGCTGCGGAGTTGTATTCCCTTGAATTCCTTGACGGCCCGTCTGTACATCCGCCTGCGGACTTTAGTGGTTAGAGTCTGGGCTCTGGACACTGGGTCCTGGGGGTATTCATCCATCTCCACCTCTTCCTTCTCTGAGTCTGACTCTGGAAAAAGGGTGACAAAAGTTATTTATCTAGTCATCTGCTGATATAGAAAATACATATAATCCTACAAGTAAAATATTTGTTGACAAAAAGGAGATGGCGATGGATAGGGCATGTGTTGAGGAAACCAGCCGAATGCATCACCAAAGTAGCCCTTAGATGGACACCGGAAGGGAAGAGGAAACCTGGTCGGCCAAAGAACACCTGGCGAAGGACGGTTGAAAAAGAAATGAGGGACCACAAGCTAACGTGGGGAGAGTTAGAAAGTAATGCTAAAGATAGAGAGAAGTGGAGAAATCTAGTCCTTGCCCTATGTGCCCACGGGCATAACAAGGACTAAGACAGGACAGGAAAATATTTACAGGAAACCCCTAAAACTTATTTGTAGAACAGCTTCCCAAACTGTTGCAAATGACATTTGCTTGAAAAGACACAGTATATAAAATAACTATAGATGTATTTTATAGCAAGTACTAAACACATGTAACAGCTGTGTAAAATATAAAAAGATTTTTCTCATTGCAAAATAATTTTTTAACTTGAATTCCTCTGTCTAAACTTACCATTTTCTTTCTCTTCGCCCTCCTCTGGTGGCAGATATTTGTTGATGTAGTCCTCAGAGACAGTGAGGGCATCATTCATTTTCTCGGCCACATACTGACCATAGGTCGTCTCCATTGACTTGGACACCACAGTCATACCCATATCCTTCACAGATTGTACTGTACTCTGTCCATACTGCATCACTTTATCCACCTAATAACAAGATCAGAGAGATCTCCCTATTTTAATTTGTTCTTACTATACTTGCAGTTAACTCTTTTTTTTTTAAATATTAAATGATAATTTTATATTTCTTGTATGCATGTACATTTACATTTTTTTAAATTCAGTTATTCTGATTGGTCTGTTTGTAATAATTGATTGCCCTACCTGTTCCTTTCCTTGGTTGTACTTATCAGAGCCATACTGCTTCACGGCATTCACTCTGTCAATGGCTGGCTTAAGAACAGCCTGGCAAGCCTCCTTTCCATCGTTCACCAGCTGTTCAACAATAATGATAGAAATTATACATACAGAATATATGGACCACTGGACATATTAAAACAGAGAAGATTTTATAAATTGGATACAGAACTGCCTTGAATTTACAAAGAATTAACAACAGACCTCATCCGTAGGTTTGGTAATAGCTGGGTATCTCTCCTCCAATTTCTCCAACTGGTCACATGCAATCTTGTTCACTGCATCCACTGAAAGAAGTATGAAATTTTATATTAATACCTTCATGTATATATGCTTTCTCATTTCACAGCATAAAATCTGTTCAACATTATCAAAATCTCTAAAAAACTTAAGTATACTCGACTTACACTGGGGTTGGTATTTCTCCAGGTATGGTTTAGAAGTCTCAGCAACAGACTTGATGCTGGATTCGGCCAGATTCAGTGATGCACGGAACAGCTGGTTGCTTTCCTTGGTTCGTTGATACAGATTGCACGTCTGAGTGACCGCAGTGCTGACCACTGGCAGACTGGCCAAGCGGCTGACAAATTGCTCCTGTTCTCTTTCTGGTTCCATTATACTCCTCCTATACATGAAACTGTAATGAGGGTATCTAACCATGCAAATAAGTGTAAATGTAAATTACACTTTGTTTCCTACATAATATGTCATTAAACCTCCCTTTTCTATCTGACTTGCAGTTTAAATTCTTTCACATAGGCTGCTGACTCCCCATCTTAATTGTTAAAAAAAGATTATCTACTATACTATAAACATAAGTTATGTTTATAGCATAGTTGATATTTATTTTAACAATTAAGATGGGGAGTGCCTATGTTCTTTCTTTAAAAAAGTGCCTGAACCCCCCCCCCCCCCCCCCTTACGAGGTAAGCAACATATTATATTTATTATATATAACATATAAAATTGACACAACTCAATATTGTTTTTATTATAATCATTTAATAGTTCATCTTGAACATGAATATAAATATCTAGGAATTATTTTTACTTATAATGGTAAGCTTAAGTATGCAGCTGAACAACTAGCTGACCGTGCAAGAAAAGCTTTTTATGCAATGAAACGCTCTTTACCTTTTCATAATAACTTATCTGTAAAAACTCTTTTAAAATTATATACTTCACTTATTGAACCTATCATTTTGTATAGTTCTGAAATATGGATTTCAGACTTTAATATTAATATAAACAATTGTGATCAACTACCTTTTGAAAAGATACAGCATTTGATATTTAAAGATATTTTGGGTGTACAGAGAAAAGCTTCAAATTTAGCCATTAAATATGAGCTAGGAACAGTCCCTATTTGTTGCAAAGCTATCATCTCAATGTTTAAATACTATAAGAGACTAAAAAATGTTAAGAATAAAAATAGCACTAGAAATCAAATTCTTATTGCTGCTTCCTTAGAAGATGACAACTTATATAGTAATGGTGTAAAGGATAATTGGCAAAGTCAGATTGAAAAATTAAAAAAGAAACTTAATCTTCCATCATTAGATATAACTGATAACACATTCAGCACCTGCTTGAAGAATTTTTACAGAAAAAATGTTAATTTGCAACTCCAGAACATTGAATTCTCCAAATGTGGTAAATTATTATTTTTCAGTCAAATTAGAAAGAATTATGAATTACAAGACTACTTAAAATATCCAATAAATAAAGCTATACGTTCTAAATTAACAAAACTGAGAATTTCTGCACATCCCTTGGAAATTGAAGTAGGCAGATATTCAAAGCCTTGTATCCCAAAAGAATCGCGTTTTTGTCACTATTGTAAAACTATTGTAGAAAGTGAAATACATTTCATATATGACTGTCCCTTATATATAGATTTGCGAAAAAAGTACTGTTCTTTGAACATCTGTAATTTAAACGATAACATATTGAAAGAAAATCATTGTAAAGTATTATGTAATCCTGACAATGCAGTTCATTCTAGAAGGCTGTGTGAATTTTTATATGAATGTTTTGAATTGCGTTCCAAAAATAAAGCACAATTATAATATATATGTTTAATGCATATATTAGCTCATCACTGTCCATATTATACTGCTTGCATAATGATTATGTTTAATCTTCAAGTTGTTATACTCTGCATAGTTGACTTCACTGATCCATACACTTGCATGTATGTATTTTATTACTTGTCTTTTATATGTAACATGGTTGTATGCCAACATGTTTGGTGAATCAATAAAGAAATTGAATATATTTAATTATAGGCCTATAATGTAACAAAAAACTGGATATATATGCATTTCAATAAAAAAAAACTAATAACAGTATATTCTAAAATGATTGGAAATCTATATTGTATGTTTGACATTCATCTTATCAGGATTTACTTCTGGAATTTTCCTAGACAAAGTGAACACAAAAGAAACTGCGATCTACTAACAAATACACTGAAAAAGCAAAAATTTTTACAATATTACTTTGTGGTGCATTAGTACATACCTGATCAGTTATTCAGTTGCTTTGTAAAAGACAAAATTACTCGTATTTCGTCAATCAGCTGCTTTTATACACGTACAACTACTAACTTCGATAAAAATATGGGTTCAAAGTCCAAGTTGCTGTACTCTGACGTAATGGTGAATATGGGGTTCCAGGCAGGAGGCAGTATGTTTAATGTGAAAATGATGATTTAGAATGGTTAATATTTTTATAATTTTTATGCTCGTTTGATAATTTACATGTACAAGTTATGCAAGTATTCACAAACATTTTAACAACGTTGTAGCAATTTAGATTTCATCCTTATAACCACGCCACTCCTTCATGACAGAGAGCTAAAAATAGATCAAGGAAAGTCCCCATTCTGGGTGACTGATCAGCACGTGAAAAGCAGACAATGCTGACTTTTTAAAAGAAGGACGAAGGTTAAAAAAGATTCACTGACAATCAGTGTTACACGTGCACTGTCACTGTGCTAGCTGTTGTGAAATTATAAATACGGACATATATATATGTTCCTTGCTATGACATAATATTTATTTATTAAAAATATTATATGAAAATTATTAACTCTTTTTTTTATGCCCCCATAAACGAATTTTCGGGTGTATCCAGTTTTTGTCGTGTCCGTCTGTCCGTCTAGTTGTCTGTCTGTCTCCATGTCTAGCTGTTTGTTCGCAAAAACTTTAACCTTGTCGATAACGTTAACTTATGATTAAGTGGAGCTATGACTTTCTTATATTTATGCCCCGTAAACGAAGTTTCCGGGGTATATAGTTTTTGTCGTGTCCGTCCGTCTGTCTCTCTGTGTGTCTAGCTGTCTGTCTGTTTGTCTGCAAAAAACTAACCTTGCCCATAACTTTTGATGTAGTGGAGCATATGACTTAATTTAATTCATATTTCACGTGTGTTGTATTCCTTGTGATAAGACCTTTCTTTGGGTACCACCAAATTTGACCTTTTAATCTTGGAGTTTGACCCACTTCTACACAAAAAATCCAAATTAACTTATTCTGTGACCTTATCTTCTGAACAGTATATATCATGACTTATACTTCATATAATTATGTAATATTTGTTAAAAGACCTTCCATTGAGTACCAATAACTTTGACAATTTGACCTTGACCTTTGAGATTTCTGTACTTATGAAAACAAGAGGCCCATGGGCCACATCGCTCACCTGAGAAGCTTTGACCATTCTGTTCTTTACCAGATTTCCTCCTTGTAAAACATAATGCATCCCCACTATACCCAACTGATCATGATTTAGACATTTTGAAATCTACACTACCCCAGGATCCTTCCATGTGCACATAAGTTTCAGCTTTTCTGGCCCAGTGGTTCTTGAGAAGAAGATTTTCAAAGATTTTTCCTATATATTTCTATGTAAAACTTTGATTACACATTGTGGCCCCGCCCTTCCCCAGGGGGTCATGATTTGAACAATTTAAAATCTACACTACCCCAGGATGCTTCCACATAAGTTTCAGCTTTTCTGGCCCAGTGGTTCTTGAGAAGAAGATTTTAAAAGATTTTTCCTATATATTTCTATGTAAAACTTTGATTACTCGATGTGGCCCCGCCCTACCCCCGGGGGTCATGATTTGAACAATTTAAAATCTACACTACCCCAGGATGCTTCCACATAAGTTTCAGCTTTTCTGGCCCAGTGATTCTTGAGAAGAAGATTTTCAAAGATTTTTCCTATATATTTCTATGTAAAATTTTGATTCCCCATTGTGGCCCCGCCCTTCCCCGGGGAATCATGATTTGAACAATTTAGAATCTACACTATACCAGGATGCTTCCACACAAGTTTCAGCTTTTCTGGCCCAGTGGTTCTTGAGAAGAAGATTTTCAAAGATTTTTCTTATATATTTTTATGTAAAACTTTGATTCCCAATTGTGGCCCCGCCCTTCCCCCAGGGGTCATGATTTTTACAATTTAGAATCTACACTATCCTAGAATGCTTCCACATAAGTTTCAGCTTTTCTGGCCCAGTGGTTCTTGAGAAGAAGATTTTAAAAGATTTTTCCTATATATTTCTATGTAAAACTTTGATTCCCAATTGTGGCCCCGCCCTTCCCCCGGGGGTCATGATTTGAACAATTTAAAATCTACACTACCCCAGGATGCTTCCACATAAGTTTCAGCTTTTCTGGCCCAGTGGTTCTTGAGAAGAAGATTTTAAAAGATTTTTCCTATATATTTCTATGTAAAACTTTGATTCCCCATCGTGGCCCCGCCCTTCCCCCGGGGGTCATGATTTTTACAATTTAGAATACATTACCCCAGGATGCTTCCACGTAAGTTCCAGCTTTTCTGGCCCAGTGGTTCTTGAGAAGAAGATTTTCAAAGATTTTTCCTATATATTTCTATGTAAAACTTTGATTCCCCATTGTGGCCCCGCCCTTCCCCCGGGGGTCATGATTTTTACAATTTAGAATCTACACTATCCTAGAATGCTTCCACATAAGTTTCATCTTTTCTGGCCCAGTGGTTCTTGAGAAGAAGATTTTTTAATGACACCACCCTATTTTTGTCTTTTCTTGATTATCTCCCCTTGTGAGGGGACTTGGCCCTTTATTTTAACAATCTAAATTCCTCTTCACCCAATGATGCTTTGTACCAAGTTTGGTCAAAATTGGTCCAGTGGTTTTTTGAGAAGAAGTCGAAAATGTGAAAAGTTTACAGACGGACTGACAGACAGACAGACGGACGGACGACGGACAAAATTTGATCAGAAAAGCTCACTGGAACCTTCGGCTCAGGTGAGCTAAAAACTTTAACCTCCATAACTTTTAAATGGTAAGGGCCAGGACTTTCATTCTTCACATATGTAATTCTTGTGTCAAGGCCTTTCATTGGATATCAACAACTTTGACCTTGACCTTGGAGTTTGACCTCCTTCTAAAATACAACCTTAGTAGTATAAGGCGTCCCGCTAGGGCGGAAGTGACGTCATAACCGGAAGTGGGCTAACCGGAAGTGGACGAAAGTGGGCCCTAGCGGAAATGTCCTAGCCGGAAGCCGGCTGGATGACCGGGTCAACTGAGTGGAGTCCTAACCCTAACTAACCCGAACCCTAACCTAACCCTAACCCTAACCCTAACTAACCCTATCCCCCTTAGCCCTAACCTAACCCTAACCCTAGCCCCTAACCCTAACCCTATCCCCCTTAGCCCTAACTAACCCTAACCCTAACTAACCCTAACCCTAACTAACCCTAACCCTATCCCCCTTAGCCCTAACTAACCCTAACCCTAACTAACCCTAACCCTAACTAACCCTAACCCTACCCCTAACTAACCCTAACCCCCTAACTAACCCTAACCTATTCCCCTTAAATACGGGGTGTGTTTACATTGGTACGTAGGTACTACGTTTTTGTTTTTATGCTGACTATACAGGTAAAAATGCGCCGTGTGCAAAAAAAAAAAATATGCTGACTACACAGGTAAATACTTGGCACTGAGCCAAGTTTGTTTAGAGCCGTGTGCAAAAAAAAAATATGCTGACTACACAGGTAAATACTTGGCACTGAGCCAAGTTTGTTTAGAGCCGTGTGCAAAAAAAAAAATATGCTGACTACACAGGTCAATACTTGGCACTGAGCCAAGTTTGTTTAGAGCCGTGTGCAAAAAAAAAAATATGCTGACTACACAGGTAAATACTTGGCACTGAGCCAAGTTTGTTTAGAGCCGTGTGCAAAAAAAAAAATATGCTGACTACACAGGTAAATACTTGGCAGCGAGCCAAGTTTGTTTAGGGCCGTGTGCAAAAACTTACCTATGCATTATGACGTCATCCACTGTATATAAATACGGTTTTCTCCGACTTGGGGTTCATTCTACCCTCACAGCCATCAGCTGATAGACATGGATTCTACTAGAGAAAAACAGGTACAGTCTCGACGAACATTGAAACGAAAAAGTACCGAGAGAGAAATAGATTTACCACCTAAACCCATTTCGGAGTATTATCACATGAGACTAGCTGAAAAATGGACCTCTCCAAAATTTAAAGCGCGTGAAGATAGATATGTCGTTCATTTCAATGAATTTCCAGAAGAAGAAGAAACCACGGCTTTCCTTCGACGATTATTCAAAAACATGTTACAGGACTTCAAATCGAAAATGCAGTGTGATCCTAACGATTACCTTCGCCTGAACATAAAACACCCATCTCTGGATTCAGACATTTCTTATGGGTTTATGCAATGTAAAAAATTAAACGAAGACGTCATTTTTGAAGAAATAGATCGTGTGCAACAATCCAAAAAGGAGTTCAAAATCGGCGACGGCTCCACGGAATTCCAGCTGTTACACATCCAGAATCCCCAGGGGAGTGGTGGAAACAGAAACAAACATCTACAACTGGATAAAGAAACTTTCAAGAACAATAAACAATCCATCGTTCGGATCGTCAATCCCCATGATAAATTGTGTTTTGCTAGAGCCATCGCCGTCACTCGATTACACAGTCAGAAACCCGATCATCCAGACCCGGAATGGGAAAAACGATGGGTCCGTATGCGGAAGGGAGATCAATACTTAGACCAGAAACGAGAAGCCCTAGCCCTCATGGAACAGGCCGGATGTGATATCACTCAAGCGTGTGGATCTGCAGAGTGGATAAAATTACAACAGGTATTAGCTCCTCAGTATCGTCTGAAAATATTTCAGTTCAAATCTACTTCCACTAAACTCTGTTTAGAGCGCATCTTCAAAGGCTGGGGAGATGGAACTTGTTTGAACATTTTGTTAGACAACCGTCATTGCGATGCCATCATATCGATGCCGGGAGTAACGGGGAACCCCTACTACTGTGATCATTGCGACGTGGGGTACAGTCATGTCACAGACCATCGGTCCAAATGTCCTCATCGCTGTCCCTATTGTTTAGGACATCACCCTAAATGTCCCGATGAAAGGATCGAGATTAAATGCCAGGAATGCCATGGAATGTTTAAGAACAGGACCTGCTACGAACATCATTTAAAACCCCATAGTAAGAAGACCAGCACTACTGTGTGCAATTTAATGGGATTATGCGAGAAGTGTCAGTCCTGGATGCCTAAGAAATTATTTCCTCATCACAAATGCGGAGATCAGAAACAGTGTAAGATCTGTAAGAAAATCGTCGATGCCGA